GGTGGGTGGTGGGTGTTGGGGGATGATTAAGATCATATGCTTGGGCTCTCAAGCTGCCCTGCCCTCCCCGTCGGGTGTCTCTCCATTCAGGCGCCATGGCCTCCCAAATTCTCATGGGAACTTTTGGAAGACAGAAGGGAGCTTTCTAACTGGGCCTTAGAATCCTCAGAACTTTTATGGACTCTGCAGCTGCCCCGAGGCATCATGGGAGGTGGTGTTGGCTAGGTGCCACAGGGCCAGAGCTAACCTTGTGTATGACACAAGGACACTTGGTGCTGCTCAGTCTTTGTGGCAGTGTGATATGAAATTCCAGCTCACAAGAGGCAGCTTTGATGAGTGACTATCTATTGAAACCTCCATTCCCCACCCAGACCCCGTTCCCTTGTCTCCCCATGGCCCACCCCGAGTCTGAAATGTCTGCATTATCAGCGATCACAAAGAAAGTCAGAGGAGTGAGCCTGCTGATGTGACTTTCACCCCAGTGTAGACTTTGCCCCACCAAGATGCCACATTTAGGGATCTCGTCATTTCCTGTCTCGACTCAGTGCCTGCCTTGAGTCCTGCAAAAATCTTAGGTGAATCTCTGCTTTCTTCATGTCTTGGCACTAAGGATATTGTGCCAACCAACACATGCCTTCCTAGTCTCTAGCATGAGTAGATCGGGACTGATGGCCACATTACATAGTCTACTTACCCTCTAGGGCAGCGGTTTTCAACCTGTGGGTCGCAACCGCTTAGGGGGTCGAACGACCCTTTCACAGGGGTCGCCCCATTCATAACAGTAGCAAAATGACAGTGATGAAATAGAATGAAAATAGTTTTATGGTCTGGGGGTCACCACCACATGAGGAACTTTGAAAGGGTCGCGGCATTAGGAAGGTGAGAATCACTGCTCTAGGGGAAAGCAGGGGTGCAGGCCTTGGATCTGAGGGTCTTGGGGTCTTCCCACACAGGAGGAAGAGCAGGCTGTGTAGAAAGCCTGGGTGAGAAGCACATGCACACCCCACTTCTGCCTGCCTCTCTTTGAGGCTTGTTCTGTTTTTATCTCAGGCGCTGTTTCGGTTCTCGTTGCCAGACGTCTTTTGTCGGTGCTGTTGCTCACTAGAGCCTGACACGACAGCTGTCTCCCCAGCCCACTCTGGGCTCCGCGCAGATCTAACATGATCCACAATTAGTCCCCCTGCCTCAGTGGAGCACAGATGCCAGGAGCGCGGAGCATGTCGGGAGAGCATATTCACTGTGGACTTTTGGCACTGTTATCCTGGGCACTGGCTCCAGAATGCTCAGTTTCTGACCAGCCTCGCTATCTGGACACAGTGACCATCCATCTGAAAAGGAGAGAACAGGCTTCCCCCAGTAGGAACACTGGGGAGCCACTGTCTGAAATAAGGCAATAAGCAGAAGAGCGAGGAAAAGGCTCAGGCTTTGCGATGCTGCCTACAGCCCCTCTCTAAATCCTCCTCTTACCATGCGAGCCTGCTAGTCTTCCTGGGCAGGTTCCCGCTCCCCCGCGCTGCTCTTTCCTTAGCCAGGACTGACTGTGCTCCTCAGCACTCTCCTTTTGGTCGCACTGTGGTTCACAGGCCCAGGAAGCTCCAGACAACAGCCTTCTTCCTGGTCCTCAGTCTTGGACCGTCTGGGTCTGGGAGCAGGGCATTGGCTCCTATCCAGGACATCGGAACAGACAGTAGTTTTGTTCTCCAGGAGTTTATGGCTTTAAAATGTATTTAAGAGAACACCCCTCCCCCCACTGGAAAACAAACAAACAAACCCAAACCAAACCAAAACCAAAAAGGTGGCAAATCCAGCTCTTAAGTTTTACATAGCCCAACAATTCAAATAATGATCAGAGCACATCATGTACTGAAATCTTGCTGTGTCCCAGGCACTATACTCATTGAAACCTTCCAGTTGCCACTGAGTCAAGTCGACTGATCCGATCTGACAGAGCAGAACTGCCCCAGAGGGGCTCCGAGCCTGGGATCTTTGCTGACGCCCACTGCTCCATCGCTCTCCCATGGAGTGGCTAGTGGGTTTGCGCTAAGACCTTTTGGTCAGCAGCCTCGCTCCACCCCCACACCATCAGTGCTCCCAAGTCCTCACACTAGCCCCGTAAGAGTAGGTAGAAGCTTTTATTATTCTCATCCTTTGCAGATGAGGGAAGGTGAGTGGTAACCAAGATTCTCCATCAGCCTGACCCCACATCGTCCACGCAATCACTGAGCTGCGTGGCTCCCTCAGCAGCGGGGCAGGGCAGGGAGCATTCACGGAGAACTTTCAAGCTTGACTTCAGTGTCTCTGAAGCCCTGGACCTTAGACAGAAGTTCCAGTCTTCGGTTTAGTCCTTCTTCCCAGAGCCTTAAAAACTAAAAATAACCCATCCCACGATGAGAAAGAAAATAGCACCACATCAATTATGTTATCAGGGAGGACATACTAAGGGTTACTGCTGTCTGACTAACCACGCATCCTCCGCAGCGAGACAGAGCTGACATCCTGGGGCCTCGCGGCCTTCCCTGCTAGCTGCCGACAGCCTGGCTGGCGACAGGCGTGCGTTCTCGTGAGCTCCTCTGCTCCCCAGCCCATCACAAGGAATTCTCAGTGGCTCTTGGCAAAATCCTCCCACTGTTTCCAAGAGGAAATGGAAGCAGAAAACAAGATACTAGCAGTGGGCTCCACGGGCAGTAAGTTTCATTGCTTCTGGAGTGCAAACAGTGCCCTCTTTGCCCGAATTAAACATGTTCTCCATTCGATGGTGCCCACCATGGATAATAGCCCTTTTGGAGCATTTGACACAATACAGCCTTTTCTGTTTTCCTCTTCGCCTGGTTCCATGACCCTACCCCCATTCTTCCTGAAAGCAGTGAGCTAGCCCGTGTGCTTGGTCTCAGTGTGGATCTCAGAGATGCTACCCACAGTCCTCTCTCGGTGGACTCATCAGCCCCGGGAATAGTAGAGAAGCCCATGGAAGGCTCCATGTCCCCATCATAGTGACGCACAAGAGAGGTGCTTTTAGGGTTTGGCCTCAGAATGCCAATACATATTCAAGGCACACATGCCAATTAATACTCACAGTGTACAAATCCTACTTAGGAGTTTGGAGAAAGGTGCCAGACAGCAAATGCACAAAGACAGAGGGCTCGTATTATCCCTGGGTAACACTTCTCAGACATGATGGAATGCAGGACGCACGGTTCAGGAGAGAGAGGGGTTGGGACGGACTGTACACCATGTGAAGTTGGCAGCAGATGCTAGTGCCTTAATTAAAGTGTCCGCAACAGTTTGATCCAATCCCCTTAGTGTCCCCGCCCTCACCATGACTCCTGAGTTGGGTACCCTTTGCCACAGTCTCTACCATAGTAGGTTAGGCACACAGTCTCTCTTGCCCTTGTTCTTTCCCATGGTGTGAAGTACCATGTTTTTCTCCGTGGTTTTACAGATTTTTCTTACAGTGCCCCTCATGGCGTTGGGTGGGAGGAGGTGGAGAGGACCAGCTAGTGTGAGCCCTGGGATGAAGCTCAACTCAGTGTCTGAGCTGTCAGGGGTAGCTGGTACTTGCAGGGGGCTTGGGGTCTGGATTGGTCACCGTGCTGGAGGCCAGGGAGTGGGCCAGGGGTGGGGATTATAGGGAGGCCCCATGTGACCATGAGGAGACAAGAAAGATTGGTCTCAGCTTGAGAGACTTGAACTGCAGGTCAGCTGCTCTCCACACACATTCCAGTTGCAGGAAGATTAGGATGAGGGTCAGGGCTGTCTGATACTGTAACGACTTACAAGGCAGGCCAGACCTCCCTACCACTTACGTCTCACGAATGGGGTTGGTGGGCCTTTCCCAATTCAACTCAGTCAGTGACCTCTGACCTTGCTCTCACAGCAGGACACCACCCTTTCGGGCTCTTCTTCCATTTTCAGCAGACCTCTGTCCCCACTTCTCTGACCCCTGTCCTGTCTTCTTCCAGTTCTACCATGCCTGCGATCAGCCAGGCATCGTGGTTTTCTGCATCATGGACTACGATGTGCTGCAGTTCTGTGATTTCCTGGGCTCCCTCATGTCCGTGTGGGTCACGGTCATCGCCATGGCACGCTTACAGCCTGTGGTCAAGCAGGTCAGTGCACAGCGGGTCGTGGGGCAGGGGGGCAACCCTAGCCAAAGACTCTCCCTGGGGCACGGCCAAGTCCCCTTACCATCCTCGGCCTCGCCCCCGGGTCCTCTTTCTCTAGGTGCTGTACTTGCTGGGGGCCATGCTGCTCTCCATGGCTCTGCAGCTGGACCGCCATGGACTCTGGAACCTGCTGGGACCCAGTCTCTTCGCCCTGGGCATCTTGGCCACAGCTTGGGTACTGGTGGGGAAGAGTGTGTGTGTGTGTGTGTGTGGTGGGGAAGGCGGGGAACGGGTACACAACAGAACTTGGTGCAGGGCCCTGGGTACCTGGCCCTCACTTTAAGGCAGGGGTGCTCCCCGTCATCCTCCAGCCCTGGAAGATGCCTTTAGGTCTCAACTAAGGACGAGGGGATTACATGGAGAGTGTCTGGGTCTGGCTTGGTAAATAGGGCCCTGCTTTTCTGCCTCCCACAGACAGTACGCAGCGTCCGCCGCCGGCATTGCTATCCGCCCACGTGGCGCCGCTGGCTCTTCTTCCTGTGTCCAGGCAGCCTCATCGCCGGCAGCGCTGTTCTACTCTACGCTTTTGTGGAAACCCAGGACAACTACTTCTACATCCACAGCATTTGGCATATGCTCATCGCCGGTAGCGTGGGCTTCTTGCTGCCCCCTCGTGCCAAGACTGACCACCGGGCCCCACCGGGAGTCCGGGCCCGGGGCTGTGGGTACCAGTTGTGCATCAATGAGCAGGAGGAGCTGGGCCTTGTGGGTCCAGGAGGGGCTGCGGTTAGTAGCATCTGCGCCAGCTGAGAGGGGCTTTGGGCCTGGCCCTTTGGGAACCTGAACCCTTCCCAGGGCAGAGAGCCCTGCCCCAGAGTTGAGAGACAAGCTGTATTTCTCGAGGACATGGGAATCTTTCTTGAGGATGTGGACTTCTTCCAGGGACCCAGAGTCTGCCCCAGGGACATAGCGCACGTCCTGAGGGCCTGCGGTCCTTCTGCATCCATAGGGTTGGCCTGAAGGACTGGATCCTGTGCAGGGACACAGAGCCCCTCAGAATCTGGGAGCCCCTCCTAGAGGCATGGAGCCCTCTAGAGGATGTAGATTCCTATCTTGGAAGACAGAGCTCTCCCAGGAACATGGCTTCCTTCCTGCGGACATGAAGTCTATCTTGGGGAAACTCAGTCTGCGGATCTTCCTCGTAGTTCACCCACTCTGGCCGGCCTCTCCCTCCTCAGAGGCCGCACCTGGCTGTGCTGCTCAGTAGAGTGGGGAGCGCTGGGAGATGAGGAGTGCTGGCAGCCTGAGATGATGGAGATGGAGTCTGGTGTGTCTCCAATGAAGTATCTGCGGGTTCTGCTGCCTTTTGTTGGGGGCCAGTGGGGTGACAGGGAGGGGAAGAGGGACCTTGATGAAGTCTTCAGGAGCTGTGGCAGCCCAGCCCGAAGGAGCTGCAGGCGCTCTGACCTCTGATCCCACCGTGCACATGTTACCCCTCCCATCTGGTCCCTGCAAATACCCGAAAATGCCTGCTCTTGCCAGGCACTGGGCTAGGTTGAAGGAAGGCCAGGCTGCAGTAGCTGGAAGCGTGTGAGTGTGTGTGTGTGTGTGTGTG